CCTATAGTCTGCACACAGATCTTACGATCACTCTCGGAATGTCCTCGCTGCTCTCCCTCACTCTCTGCCACGCTCTACCACAGCTATGGCACCCGGTGCCGTCAAGTACTCTCTCGCCAGGCACTGTTCACACTTCAAGGTCTTGGAGCCCAGGAGTGCAGCAGCGCTTCCACATAAGCCATAATCGAAGAAGAGGCAAATACTGGTGCTGCCCTGCCTTTTGTGCATCTGCCTGCCTCCTGCCACGTCAGTCCTGACCTATCTGAGTCCTGCCAGGCCCTGCCGTGCTCGACGAAGATGCGGTCTGCTGTGGGCCTTCCCTGGGACCGAGCTGCAACTGCACGGGGACTGGACACGTGGCGACTCTCTACCTACTGACGACTAGGGACCTCTACTGTTCCTATCGGTCTTATTGTTTTGGATCTCTACTCTGGTCTGTATTGTACCTACCGGAAGGTTCTACTGCAGCCCTATGGTACAAAGAAAATGGGACATGTTTTCGGGGGCATACTGCAGCAGCGCGTGAATCCTCTTCTATGTCCTTAAAAAAAGGGGGTGAAAAAATAGCTGGTTACTAGTGGTTGGTAATAAGTTTGATGATTGAATTAGATATCCTTGATAGTGTCCAAACCGTGTGTCTTTAACATTAGTCGTAAATGAGTGGGACAAGTAAGGGCATACTTGCAGAGCGACTATGTGGCCTTGATTGGAGTGAGGTCCAAATACTTCTGCCTCCTGTTTGACTGCGGTTCTGCTGTGTGGGCTGGAGCAGGTGGCGGACTACTTGGTTCCCAGGCTTAGAAAAGTTCCAACCACAGCTGGTGGACAAAGCACCTACATCAGATTCTTGACGAAACCGAGGGCGTACTTTCAGATCATACTGGTGAGTGCCAGACTTCTCTTTCCCTTTGACGCAAAGCCATCCATCCATCCATCCATCCATCCCATCCCATCCCGTCCCGTCCCGTCCCGTCCCATCCCGTCCCATCCGGTCCCATCCCATCCGTTCCCGTCCCATCCCGTCCTATCCCATCTGGTCCCATCCCATCCGGTCCGTCCCATCCCATCCGATCCCATCCCATCCGGGCCCGTCCCATCCCATCCCGTCCCATCCGGTCCCGTCCTATCCCGTCCTGTCCCGTCCCGTCCCATCCCATCCC